CACTGGCGCAAAATAGTGGAATGGATCGTTTCAATCGGCGAAACTGGAAAATACGGACCGGATTTTTTTTTAAAAACTGGATCGGCAGTCTAGATCGGCATTTTACATGCTTTGCCGATACGCATTTTTTTGCCAATATCGGCGTCCCGATCCGATACGTGGATCGGATCGGGACAAGCCTAATATATAAGCACAGTCAAACGTGTTTGTCTCAAATTTTAAACACAATACATTCGTATTTGGGATAAACATTGTGGATTAACTGATCTATCACCAAGACTTCTATAATGCGGTTTTACTGGTTTTGGTTATTAACACGGACGCCACAGTGACTGCTGCTCTCACTCACCACATCAGCAGGGTTGCCAGATGTCACTGACTCACTTTTTCCAGCCCAAAAATTGTTCATAAACTACCTGGATATATGAAATTTCTTCCAGTTTTGAACCAAAGTCTATTGATCTATTAGGCCATAAATCTAAAGAAAAACATTTTTTTACCCATAGACAGCCATCATAAACTGCCACATTGGGAAACATCCAAACCTGGCAACAATGCACGTAGAATGGTAAACGTTAGCCTTTATATGCAAAACCCCATCATGCACGGCAGCATATTTTTTCAAAATATTCTAACATAAATTTGGCAAATATAAGAGGAACCTCATAGTTTAGTTTAGAGAAAGCATTTTTGTTTTATTATAATTTCGTTTTTTTTGCAAGGATTTTAGTTTGAAGAAATGGAAAAGGCCACCATATGCCAACCGTCACAAGGATGTGCATGACAAGGAAGGGATATATATACTGCATGCAGCCTTTAGGTTGTTAACATTGTATTACTTCTTTAGTTCCTTGAGTTATTTACTGTCACAGGCAGGTGCCTTAGCCGGAGAGTAAGTGTTGGGGCCGGCATAGTTTAAGGAGGGCCGCTGAAATGATGACTGGCCCAACGGTTTTACAGATTAACAGTTCGGGCCTGGTGGTAAACAACAATTTGGAGCAGTACCAACCAAAAAGAAATTGTCTGGATGAAACAAATTGTTTTGATGGTTTTATTTTATTTTATTTTTTTCAAATGACAACAAACGAAAATGAGTTTAAATGAAATAAAATAGAGTCCATTCTTTAAATGTTAGGAGTAGAAGTAAAACGTCTAAAAAATAATTATTCCAGTAAAGTATAGATAGCCAAAACTTCTACTTAAATAATGTTGTAGCTTTTATTCTGCTTTTATTTTTCTTCTATTTTACTATTTCATTGATGTAAAGCACTTTGAATTGTGCTATACAAATAAAATGACCTTGCCTTGTAAGAAAGTATTTGTACTTTGTAACTTGACACCTAGCAGAGGTTTTTGGTGATAAGATGGCTGTTTTTTGTTTTCCGTGGGATGCATTTTTTAGGGACATGGATGATGACGGGTAATGGCGTGATGCACAATGGAACCACCATCCTGGACGAGTACGGACACAACCTGGATCGCCTCAAGGTAAGAAGGCTTTTGATCCGTCTTTTTCACCATCTTGCTTTGAGCGAAACCTTAGATTCGATGAACCGTCCTCTTCGTCCTGCAGGCGGGCGACACAGTGGGCGTCGTGCGGAAAGAAGACGGCAGCCTGCACTTCTTCGTGAACGGCGTGGCGCAGGGCCCGGCGGCCTGGAACGTTCCGCCAAACGTGTACGCTGTGGTGGACCTGTACGGCCAGGCTGCGCAGGCCACCATCATGGATGACATGGGTGAGAACCGGAGGAGTGACCCGCCTGGAGTTCCAACCTCTGGAGGGAAAAGCCTGACCCTCTGTGCGTCTGTTTGCCATTTCAGTCGACCTCCCTCCTCTTCCGGAGGACGGCTCAGACGGCCCCACCGCCATGTCCCCTGGGACCCCCTGCTCGGTAACGGGGGCTCCCACAACCACGGACCTGCGATTCCACCAGCTGCACGGCACTAACGCCGTCATCACCAACGGGGGCCGCACCGCGTTGCGTCAGAACTGCCGCAGCGAGTTCAACGACGCCATCGTTATCTCCAACAGGTAACGGCCTCCTTTAGCTGCTGCTCAGGACCTCAGCTGTGGTTAAAACAGCTGCTGTGATTTCTGCGTCGCAGGTGCCTTCGGGAAGGGGAGCTGTTCGAAATAGTCATTCAGAAGATGGTGGACCGCTGGTCAGGTTCGATAGAAGCAGGTGAGACGTTCCACCACTTATCCAGGAGATTTAGTTCATATTAGATTTAGTTTCCTCCACTGGATCAGGTGGTTTGACTCTTTTTGCCATTTACCCGTGATCGTAGGGGTGACCGCCATCCGGCCCGAGGAGCTGGAGTTTCCAAACACGATGACTGACATAGACTACGACACCTGGATGCTGAGGTACTCGCCGTATGGAGGCGATATGGGTCCAAACTTGAGCTCTAAACGTCTTCTTGATCCATATTTCTGTTGTTTTTTTTCCCTCCACTAGTGGGACCGCCATCATGCAGGACGGCAACACCATGCGCAACAACTACGGCTGCGACCTGGACTCCCTGACCACGGGTTCTCGGATCGGCATGATGCGCACATCCAACGGTGACCTCCACTATTACATCAACGGCGTGGATCAGGGCGTCGCTTGTTCGGGGCTGCCAGCAGGTAAAGATCAGCCATAGCCAAAAGAAACCAAAGGTTTAACCAGGTGCTGGAACAGACTGGTATGTCTCTGTCTCTTCCAGAAGTGTATGCTGTGATCGATCTGTATGGTCAGTGCGTTCAGGTCGCCATCACCAGCTCCTCCGGCCCGTTGGACAACAGCCTCTGTACCAGTAACGTCACGGAGAAGAGCTTCCCCATCCACTCTCCAGGTGCTCCTCTCTCTCTGTACCTGTGCCATTGAGTCCTGATGAATAGTTTTTGTTTAATATCCCTATCCTGTTTTTTGCAGTAGCAGGCGTCGCCCACCGACTCCACAGTAAACACGGTAAGAACGTGGTGCTGCTGGGCGAAGGCTGCCAGGCCATCAGAGTGGGCGGTTATTCTCACGGCATCGTTTTCAGCGCCAAGGAGCTCAAAGCAGACGAGCTGTTTGAGGTTTGCTGATGATTCTGAAGTTCTAAGGCTCTCCCCTGCAAGTTCATTCCAACCTTCCTCACCTCTTTTATTTTTCTATTTTCCCCCTCTCCTGACCTCCCCCGGCTTGCCGTAGGTGAGGATTGATGAAGTGGATGAACAGTGGTGCGGGTCTCTGCACATCGGCCTGACCACGCTGGCGCCTACGGAGCTGCCGTCCTGCCCGCTGTCCGGTCTCTCTCCCTCACTCCCGCAGCTCCGCACCAAGGTCACCTGGCTGCTCTGTGGGTCCGAGGTGCGGCGAAACGGCGTGCTGCAACGACAGAATTATGGCTATTCGTTAGACCGGCTGACGGTGAGGAACTATCTTTACCTCTTTCATAGAAAAAAAAACAACAATTTATAGCTAAGTTCTATATTAAACAAATAAAAAAATAAGCATTCGGATGACAGGAGAGGTGGGGTCTAAATGTGTCTCCAGGTGGGGAACCGAGTGGGCGTGAAGCGCTGTAACGATGACACGATGCACATCTTTGTTGACGGAGAGGACATGGGACCCGCCGCCACCGCAGTACCCAAAGTACAGTTGCAGCCTCACTCTTTTCCATAGAATCGGACTCTGAACGGTTTGCACTCAGCTTCAGCTCTGGCTTCTTGCAGAACGTTTATGCGGTGTTGGACCTGTACGGGAGGATAACTGCGGTGTCCATCGTCAGCTCCTCACTGACGGAGGACTCTGAGAGCATCAAGGCGCCCTCGCTGACCTCGGATAGCTGCAGCGAAGGGGAGGAGGACAGCAGCCCTGTTAGGGAGGTCAGACGACGATGAGAACAAAAAGGCAGAACAGCAGTATAGAGAAACAGTTTTTTTTCATACTTCTTTTTTTCTTTGATCCAGGTTGAGAGCGAAACGTGCCCCCTGGTTCCCACCATCATGATGTTCCTAGAAAACCACGGCAAAAACATCCAGCTGTCCAACCAGAACCTGACTGCGGCCAGGGTGTCCAGCTACAACCAGGGCCTGCTGGTCACCGCCCAGCCGCTGGCACGCCAGCAGCTCTTCCAGGTAGCTGTAGCCGTCAGTTAGGTTTACTTTTTGTTGTAGTTTGCATTTTGGAGTAAACTGTTTCTCATTTCCTTTTTGGAACTAGTTTCAGATCGATCGTCTGAACCCGTCGTGGACGTCTTCTCTATCGTTAGGGGTGATAGGCCACTCCCCCGACCGGCTGAACTTCCCCTCCACGGCCTGCTGCCTGAAACGATCCGCCTGGCTGCTGCAGCGAGACTCCGTCTTCCACAACTCCCTAAAAGTAAACGCCTAACCCCTGCGCTTGTCTTAACATCACAAACCGCCGCTTTCATCCTGACACGTCTTTCCTTCAGATATGTGAGAACTACGGTCCTAACCTGGACACTTGTCCAGAGGGGACGGTGTTGGGTCTGCTGGTGGACACCAACAGCTGTCTCCATCTCTTTGTGAATGGAATGGACCAGGGCGTGGCGGCGCAGGACATCCCTTCACCCTGTTACCCCTTCATTGACCTCTACGGCCAGTGTGAACAGGTCAGTGCAGACCCAGAGGAACCGGACTGGGCCTTTAGAAGCTAATTTAGTCATCTATTCATCGTTAACAGGAGTATAGACGCTCGAAAACATGCCTTTAGCTGACAGAGCAACCCACTTAGAGCAGCAATTATAAATATAATTTAATAAGAAAATATATTATAAAAATTGATATTAAATGAAAAAAGAAGTTATTGAACATAATAAAAAAAATTTATAAATAAAAAAAAAAAAATACAACTTTTTGTGTGTCAATATGCTCGATCCGAAAGCTTTAGTTTTTCACCTGGTTTAAATTCTGTAAAAAATATCCTTTAAGGAACCTTTTGCTATGCGATTATTAATCGATTAATAATCCACAGATTAATTGATTAGCAAAATGATTGTTAGTTGCAGCCCTAGATTAAAATAACCACTCTTCTGGAACTTGGAAAGTAAGAAAGGATTCCAACCCCTTTTCTCTTGGATTATCTTGTTTTTAGCTCCACTCAGCTTCACTGTCCGCGCTAAAGAAAAGTATCAGCACAAAATGCTGCTAACTGTTCTGGGTCAAAGCTAAAACCAAACACTGTCTGCCCTCCGCATGCTCTTCACCCTACTTACTATTATTGATTACATGGTGCAAAAATGAATCCCTCTTCAGTCATAATAGTAAAACTAACAGATGTTAGCATATGACACTTTCAATGCCACCTGAAACATTCCCAGGTCTGCATCAGTTTTGCATTCCTGGTTATGTTTGAGGAGTAAACACTTTGCCCATATTCACTCTCATTCCAGCTTCTGTTGATCCAATTTAGTTTTTTTTTTTTGTCCTTTCCTCTTTAAGGTTTTATTTAAATTTTTTTTTTTTTTTTTTGTTGCTTGCTCTGCTATAAAACTTCAAAATCCGGCAGCCGTCGAGCTGTTGGACTTACAGCGAGAACGAGAACAGAGCCGTAGGATTAACCCAGTCAGTGGCACAGACAGCTCTAAGCGTGGTTTTAGAGCCAGAGCCAGTAGGGGGAGATGATTGTCTCATAAATACTTAGATCACCATCACAGGGACTTAGAAGAGTGAAAAAGTACAATTAAAAACGTTACTTGGTGCTGCTTTAATGGCATCTATATTATAAAGTGTTTGTTTTCAGTTCATCACATCACAGATTTGAGTTTAATTAATCACGCATCTGAATCTGAATGATTAAAAACTACTCGGTTTCCTCTGCCCTGAGATGCTAGGGGGGATCACACCTATTCTATTTTACTGGTTTAAAGAAAAGCAATATGCTAAACATTATATCTACATTCTGATTTTTCATTAAGAGGGGATCAGTGGGATGTGCGGATGAATACAAAACAGACTGAATGATTGGAGTTCAGGAAAAAAAAAAAAAAGGCTGTACCTCTTGAGCCGCTGCAGGAATTGAATTGGCATTTAACTGCAGGAATCGCAGTGACTGTCACCGAAAAATAGGAAGCGAAAGAGAAAACACAACATTATAGATGCTGTGGAGGAGTTATCTGGTGGTCCATCATCATCTCCGCCATTTTTTCCACCTCACAGATGGACCATCTAGCTCAAGCTGTCTGAATGATAATAAAAGTTGTTTTTTTCATGTCGGCAGGTTACCATAGTAACGAACAATGTGCCAGCTGTGGGTGCGGAGAGCGGTGAGACGCGCTTTCAGGGAGACATGGAGAAGGCGGATATGGTTGACGGTACAGATCCACTATTTATTATTTATTTGCTTCAACCATTGCAGCCTTCAGCCTCCTGAGCAGCTTCTCTGTTCCAGGTATCAAAGAGAGCGTGTGCTGGACACCCCCTCCAGAGGTCAACCCCAACAAGACCTGCGAGTACCAGGCTCTCTGCTCCCGCTTCAAGGACTTGCTCACCTTACCAGGTATCTCTCTCTCTATCTCTCTTTTTGTTTTAACTATTTCAGGCATAATTTCCTCTTCCGACATAATAATCGCCTTTGTTGCTGCTTCTGCATCAAGATGGCTACTTCAACGAAGATGCAAAGTACAACCTGTGCTACTGTGAGTCCTGCCACAAGCTCCGGGGGGACGAGGCGTACTACAAGCGAGGAGAGCCACCCCGAGACTATGCCCTGCCATTTGGATGGTGTCGCTTCGCCCTCAGGTAGGAAAGCTGCTCCATAGACCGCCCTATCTGCCCTATACAGATTGCCCTATAAGGATTGCACATTTAGTCTTAAGGTTTTGTGCAAAGAGAAATTAATTTATATATATATATATATTTTTTTTTTTGCTGTACCACATAGGGGTGGAACGGTTCACAAAATCCACGGTTCGGTTCGGTTCACGGTTTCGTGGTCACTGTTTTCTGTTCGGTTCGGTATATGTTGATTGTTAGCATGACATGTTGGTCATGTTGCTGTTAGCATAACCAAAACGTGTTGCACAATGCTTGTACACTGTTGCACTTTTATCCACAACTTTCTTTCCGCCGTCATCGTAGGTCACTCTAAATGCAAAGCGCTCCCATACAGCAGACCTATAAAGTGCTGCTGGCGCGTCTTCCAACTCCTGTTCTTTCCCACTCGCCATACCCACACAATTCTCCACAACAACTGATCTTTTTCTGCTACACCCGGCTAAGCTGCTTCGCTTCTTCTTCTTGTTTACTACTGGTGGTTGGCTTTGGTCGCAGTACCGCCACCTTCTGCTCTGGAGTGTACACGCGTCCCCTGTGAGAAAAAGGAGCCGTGCATGAACCGAACGCAACACACGCGAACCGAACCGAGACAGTCGAACCGAACGGTTCGGACGGTTTTCATAAACCGTTCCATTCCTAGTACCACAGATTTCAAATTACATGTATTTTCTTCATCTGAATGTAACATATATTGCAGATTTACCTTCAGGTTTTATAGCTTACAAATTGGTTAAATTAGGCATGATGGGGTATAACTACGAGCACTAAATGGCTGCAAAGCTGCTTTTAAAATAATATTACTTGCAAAGCACTTTATGATTGTATAAATAGATCTCAAAGCACTACAAAGGAAAAGTTAGGAAAAGCACAGTGTCAAATAAGAACCATTTCAATGGAGCATGTGCAGTGGACCAGTACAACAAATTAAGATCCTAATAAAATATCATTGATAGGCTTTTGTGAATAAAAAAGATTCAAATACAGACGGGGAGCTCTCACCCCGACATCCAGAATCCTCCGTAACCTGTTCCAGACCATCTGCTCAAAGCAAAGTCTACAGCCTCCGCTGTTCCTCCCGTCTTGCTCCACTCCGACTTCCTCGGAGCTCGAGGATAGCATGCACAATTTTATTATTAAATTCATAGGAGCAAACTATGCGGAAATTATCGCTTGATTTAATATGACTTATTCAAAAAATCCCCATCAGCATCCAGTTTATGTGCATTTTCTGCCCAAATGTTTTCTTTTTGTTGGGGATTTTTGTAACAGGGATAACTGTTGTATGAACTATGTTTGTTCTCTACGTCCAAACTCATCATCTCTTCATCCACGCCTGCAATAAGAAGTTTCTTTTGAAGTTGATGCGTTCTCTGAGATGCGTTCTCTGAAGTTGTTACTGGATTTGATAAAACTTTTAAGCCTCTCGGTATAAAAAAATATGTTGATGGAGATGAAGTGACCCCGAAACTTCACTGCCACAACTTTTTCTAGAGGGAATGGGAGATTAGCGATGGGTTGTATTTTACCAGGACTTTACGATGGCAAGCGTTTTGAAGTGTGGGTCTGATAAGAGTTGTTTAAAATGCTGAGGGAACATGGCCGGTTTCATGAGAGTTATTGATAATGGCAGCAATGAGAGGACGTACAGCAGTTTAGTTTGGTTTAAGGAGAGTTTGGCGGTATGGGGTCCAGTCACTTTATAGAAGAACTCATCTGACAGATAAAGTCCTCAACCTCACCCAGAGGGGTGTATGAAAACTGTGAGAAGTATGAGAAGTACCAGAAGTATGAATGGATGAGGTGAAATGAGAATTCATTACACTGGTCCTCCATATATTTCAGGTGTGAATAGGTTTGTGGTTTGAGAAAATTATTGATGGTTGAAAATAGCTTTTTGGAATTACAGGACAGCTTTTGATCCTGTTGGAATAGTAAGGGCATCTTGCTATCATCAGAGATTTGGAGCATGGTTGTTAGTGCTGACCGCTGGTAGGTGTTGAATGTAAGTTTTTGTTATTTTGTTGCTTTCAGGATCAAGTCCCACTGTGAGGTTTCTAATGCACTAAAGAAGTGGCACATCGCTTACCACGGCACAAGCGTAGGAGCCCTGAGACGCACACTGGACCACGGCCAGCTGCTACCTGGTACAACAAGCGTCTTTATTATCGTTGAAGATCTTCTTTTCTGTTATTTTCTTTTTATTTAACAATTTTTATTTTGCAGGAACATCGTCCATTTTTTTGGTGTCTCCGGTGAAAACCGAAGGTCCAAACGGCTACACCGAACCAGAGGAGAACTGCGCCCCCGGCAGGGAGGTTCCCAGGGTGCGGCTCTCCCCGACCATGCGCTACTCTGGCATGGAGTCATTTGCTCCTAAAGTGCAGTGAGTTTATCATCTTTCCCCCCATCTATTTAATGGAAACCAGAGCGTAGACGTTAAAATGTCGGCTGGGGGTTTTTCTCCTTTCCCTGCAGATTTCAGGACCCGCGTTCTCAGCGCCGCCACCAGGCTCAGGTGGGTTTCCAGGTGTGCGTACGGCCGGGCTCCTACAAGGTGGGACCTCAGACACTCAGCCACAGCGAGCCGCTAGATCCTCGCTTCAGCAACTCGGAGATCGAGTGGATAACGAAGGAGCAGGGCGGCATGCTTCTATACGGGCTGCTTATCCGGGTGGAGTGAAGGAAGCGAGACACTTTTGGTGGTTTTTGATAAACAGACAACCAAATCCAAGCCCTGCCTTGAGCAAGACACTCCTCTGGAGTCCAGCTGGTCCCAACAGCAGATTGTTGACAACTCAGCATTTTTGGTTTTGTTTGGGTCACTCACTTTGGTCGCTACTAAGAACAGACACTGCCTGCACTTTATGTTTCGGACACTAGTGGGCGATTTTCTAAACGTCTCATCGACACGTTTGTTTATTAGCTATGGTTTTCTCTCCTTAATTCATCATCAGTTTGCTCTTCCACCCTGGAGTAGCTTCTTTAGTTTAGCACTTTGGACCTTTGGTGAGTGTTTCATTATAGGAGGAGGTATTTCTCACCACATTTTACAAAGAAAATGACTGAAAGGTATGTATAATTGAAAAAAAGAGGGATGTGTTTTAAAGGCGATGAAGAAATGACGCAACACTTGAATCTAAATATGAGCCCGGGAGCATGGTGTGATTGAATACGCTAGCGGGAAGATTTTAAAACTGGACTGCGGGATAAGTTTGTTTACACATCTGTCTTTCACTGCGTTTTTCTGTCCGCTTTTTGTCTTCGTATAAACAGACACTTTTCCATCGGTTTACACAGAACTCTGAGCCGGGATAACGTTTCACCCTCTAATGTGGCCATTTATTTATCTCAAATTTTTAACCCCAGAATTTGCATTTTAAAGGTTACGCATCTAGATAATGGGTTTATGTGCCAGTCGTGTCCCCGTGAACAGTTGCCGGAAGTTGGAAAAGGATCAAATCCAATATGGCTGCTGCTTACAATAAAACTCTAAGGAATTATGTTTGGGGAGATGACTGTGGGATTTATGCATTCGTATCTAGTTTCCAACTGGAACCTGATCCAGCTCAGGTTCCTGGGTCCAATTTCACTATGTTTCAGCAATTCTCTGCGTTCCACTCGGTTGCTGGATCCCACTGAATGATCACTTAATAGAAGTCCAGAATATGGTTGGAAACAGGTTTTACAAAACTCTGGGTGGCACTTTTTAATGTGAAATAAAATATAGTTTATAACAGCAAGTTTTCTGCATGTGGCAGCCATATTGAATATTTAACAATTTGCTTTTTAAAACCTGTAATTTCAGGGATAATTCTTGATGTATTACCAACCATGAACAAGAAACCTGAGTCCTGGATGGAATGAAAACCTCAGATCAATATGGTTTCCATGTTCACTGAAAGTAACAGCAATAATCCTTTTGTATCTCACTAAACCAACCATGTTCTATGCTATTGCTTCTGAACATGTTCCAGTTGTGTCTTAATGCATAAATCCTACCGTTTGCAACTAGAACCTGAATATTTGCAAAATGCCTTCACTCTCTGATCTAAATTTGGAACTCTGATCTAAATATGGGGGAAAAAATTGGAAAAACCTGTGTGGTATTTCCTAATTGAGGTGTTGGCCTCTAGTAGCAATACATGGTATTTTAGATTCACGTTAGGAATGTCACTGGTTCAGTTAAAAACAACTATTATTTGTTAAATAAATTGACTTTCACCAATTATTTTATTTACCTGGCAGCCATATTGGATATTAACTTGTGGTTAATACCCAAAAGTTTGCTTTAGGGGCTGTTAGTTTTGCATTTCCAGATGGGAACTCTGAAAATTCAGCTTCTAAATTACAAATGAAATCCTTTTAAAGTTGCAGCCATGTTGGATTTAAACTCCTGAGATCTTCAATGTCAACCCTGTACCTGAGGTCAGACTTTCAAGGTGCACAGAACCGATCCAAAGTTCTGATAAATGTTTTTATTTTGGCGTGAAACAGAAATAGATCAGGAGCGAGTAGCAGACGTTTCATAATCACAGCTCCAACTGTCGGGACTAACAGAAAATTTGAATGGATGCTAGTTCGAGCTACCGCTCATGTATTACAAGTTACAGTAAATGTCCCATAGATTTCTGAAATGCAGATTCTGGTTTAGATATTTTAGATTTAAAACTGCCCATTCTGTTTTTGAATTTTACAATTCTTACATTTATCCATTAAAAGTAAGCTATTGGCAGCTAGCTATGGTCCAGTTCTTCCAGAAGATTCTCAGATAAGTTGGATGTGCTTGGTAAAAACTAACACATAGGTGAAGTGAGCTTAAAAGGAAAGTAGAAATTAGGTATAGATAAAGAAATGTCTAAAAAAAGATTTTTAGTGGAAGCTAAGTGCTAGCTTAGCTTAAAAGCTAAAAATGGGGATAAAATGCTTAGGTTGGCATTCTGCACTTCGGTACAGCGCTGTTCCACTGTCTTTAAGGAACGTCAACTGCTGACAGACATATGGGAGCATAACTGTATTATTTTATAGTATTTATAACAAAGGGGAGGGGTTGGGGTACTATAATTTTATAAGTTAACTAGGTTATAAAGTTATGTTTGCATATATTTATCTGTTTTTGCCCATGCTAAGCTAAGTATATTCCAATATCAAATATCCCTTCTAAAACGTCCAACAAAACCAAAAAGTATGACGACATTCTTGCTTCCAATCACCGTTTACACTCCATGCAAACCCGTCAATCCTTCACGCCTGACGCCGTTTACCGGGCCGACGCCACCTCCTGCAGGGCTCAGAAACATTTCCTTTGTTTGACATGGGGTATCCATCAAACTGGTGTTTACATTTGAATGTTTATAATTAGGGCTCTGAATTAATTTCACTCCAGGATTATTTGACACTTGTCAAATGTTTATAATTCAAAACACCTGCTTGAATTGTTTACAGTCAGCCATTTGTTCTTTTTTTTTTTTGCCAAATCGCATCCAGGGGGAAAAGGGTTCATAGCTCATGTGTCAACCTCTCAGAAATGACAGTCAGAGAAGCTCAGTCATTAATCAGGGGGAGAAAAACTTAAAATAGAATAAAAAAAAAAAAAAAAAAATGTGAAAGATGTTATTAAACGGGTTATTTCAAGCCCAGTGCTGCTTTGTACACTTTAATTTGTATTTTTGTTTTTTTTTTCTCTGTATGTTGTGTTGTACAGGCTGTTACATAACAAATCATATCTTCATGATTTATAAAAAAAAATAAAAGCAAAAGAACTGACAAACGGTAAAGGATGGTTAATGTGTTGGTTTGTGTGGAATGTGTTGGGAAATAGAAAAAAGGGCATTTTTGTGAGTTTTCTTCAAACTTGATTTAAAATCTGAAAGAAAGGCCTTGTCTCTGGCATGTTATTGCACTGGTGGACTGAATCACAGCTTTTCCAATATGTTGTCCACTAAAATGAACATTTAAGGCAGATAGTGGGATTTTTGTTTTCCATAGCTTTTAAAGACGTGGCAGCAGAAATAGATCAACAAATTTAATAGAAAATAAAATCAAAAAGCAGTCTTTCTTTAAAATCACTATCTTTGCTGATTGACTAATTTATCGCTGACGGATCGTCTGCTCTGCTCTCTGCGGGGTGTCAAAGATGGGATGAACATAATGGCGTCAATTTTGCTTTTGTAACTAAACCCTGAGTTCTGACAGCTGATAGAGCTCTGCCCTGCCTTTACCACAAATTACATTTGGGAGAAGTAATTTAGGTGAATTTGAAGGAGATGAAATAATTCATTCTTCTGTGGAATGAGGACTTGGCAATGTCCAACTATTTACTGCTACCGACATCTGTTAACCCAACGAATTGGAATAAATAACTTTACATGGTGGAAATTAAAGGTATAATGGAGGATTTTCACAGGTTTTTCAAAAGACCCACCCTCTACACTTACAAAAAAAATTTAAAAAAGCCCAATCCTGTAGCCACTCTTGAGAGGGAACGCCTATTAAACGTGTGTGAGAGCGTTCACGAGCCCATTTCTCCAGGAGCAAACTCTGTTTAAAAGCTGCACTTCGCATCGCTCATACAGGCTTACTTTCCAAAAGAAGATTTGCAATTTTTCCACAATGTCAGACTCACTTCGGTAAGTGAAAATGGGGACGAGCACGTAAACTTATGTAAACATATCACCAGAATGATTGACAATTAGAAGGTGCACTTATTTTGATGATCACCTGGAGAAAGAACATCTTCCACTATACCTTTAACTTTAGATGCAGCTTCACCTTTCTAAGTATACCTGTTACAATTGTTTTATGTTCATGTTACATAATTTCATTTTTTTATATATAAGAATTTCACACTTTTCCCAGACTTCAGGATACTGGAGTTCTGTCCTTTATGTTCACTATAAAATACAGAAGGTTACTGTGAATAAGGCTTTCAATCTAATATTTGCCAAGATTTGCATGAAAGGAAAAAAAAATGGAAGGGAAGAAAGAAGAGAACACAGGAAAAATTAAAAAGAGAGAGCACTATTCCAGGAAAGGTAGGAAACATTTAAAGAATTTAGATATCACTAGGAAATAAAGGCTTGCAGGTATTTTTTCCAATGGTTGCTTTGAAATCAAATCCTTGAAGGCCAGTCCTACGACCTTTAGATGTGTCCTGTGCCCCACAGACCTGAATAAACGGCTAAACCACCTCATTAATACAGTCTGGCTCTACAGGTCTCTGCTAAGGAGCTTTTAGTGAACCCAGGTGTGTAAAAGCAGAGATTCAGGCCTCTGATCCTTAAAAAAAACTTCTTTCCACATATAAACCAGGGATATGAATGAATGCAAATACTAAACAATTGTTTTAGTCATCAGCCAATAATGATCTGACTTGTTCTCATGCCACAGTACGCAGACACTCTGCACTGATAAAACAAAAATTCACTCACCTCAGCATGCTGAATGTTTGAGATATCCGACAGGCAAGGGCAGATTTTTAATTCTGTTATTATTTGACTACATGGGGGAGTTCAGTAAGTGTTTACAGAGCTTTAAAAGTTAATTGAATCCCTTCATCCTGATATAAACACACCATTAAACATAAGAGGCACACCTTAAAATAAAGACCGTAGAAATTGTCTCATTGTCTTGACCCTTCTATTATTAAAGATTCAAAAATAGATTAGGGCTTCAACTAATGATTATTTTGCAAATCGATTAATCTGTTGATTATTTTTTCGATTAATCATTTAATAATCGGATAGCAAAAGGTTCCTTAAAGAAGACTTTTTATGAAATGAAACCAGGTGAATCTAAAACTTTTCCACTTGAGGAGTTCTGGATAGAGCTTATTGACAGATAAAAAAGTTTTTTTTAATCATAAATGTAATTTCAGTATGATTGCTGTTCAAGGGTTGGTTGATCTGTCACGTAAAGGCATGTTTTAGTCTCTATATTCCAGTTAACAATGAATCGATTACTAAATTAGTTGCCTATTATTTCCATAATCGATTTATCTCGATGAATTTGGTCGTTTCAGCCCTAAAATAGCTTTTCCTTTAAAGCTTCTGCTCACGTAGTAGCTTTAGCTATCACTATACATCTCACAAAACCAGAGAAGAGATCAGAGGTTTGTTTCACGAAGCAGGTTTGATAAACTGTGATAAAAATTTGCAACTCTAAATTGATCTAACCTAATGTTGGGAACTCTGAGTTTTCAGTTTAACAACAGCTGCTATGAATTAGTTCAATCAACTCTAAGTAGGTCCACTCAGGGTTTAGCTCGTGTGTAACAAGTATGAAAAGCCATTATCAGTGAAGTCACCATGACAACAGACAACAGGAAGTGCCCATTTTACCTCACTGGAACTAGAGATTTTAATGAAGAAATGAAAAGAAAAAAAGAGGAATGTGTTTAAAAGACAGAGAAACAGCGCTACAGCTACAAAGAAGCGGAAGGTGGAGAAGGAGATGATTGATGCTCGAGCTGATGCGCAAGTTTATATAAAGTGGGCTATGGCAGGCTGTTTTTACATTTATTAAAGCACTCCTCTCTGTTGTTCCATTTGTAGATCACTAAAATAAAATTCTTCCTGATCAAAATCACACTCCTAGACCAAAATACAATATTTTCTAAATTGATTTTTCAGCAGAAACTGAATTTTAGAAAGAAAAGAAAAAAATACTAGTAACAACTAAGTTTTATACATCTTGAAATGTTTACACTTTTTAAATGGCTGTTCTTACATTTATCAGCTTGACTGACCATGTATTTATATCTGAAAAACATTTTTTAATAGTTAAAATAATGCAAATACTGACCAGTAATATTAGGAATATGGAGATCTGAAATTGATTTATAGACATCCAGAATGTGTCCATATTCTGCCTCTTGCTCGCAGACAGCTGGATGTAGGCACCAGCACCCCTTGCAACTCCACTTAGGATAAGTGCGACGGAGAATGGATGGATGGAATGGAGATCCAGAATGTTTATTCTAGATGTTGAGAATGACATTTTGTTTGAATTGGTCATTTAGACAAAGATTTTATTTTTTTCAGTATACATATTCATGTACTAGTTTTACAGAATACATATTCAGTAAAACTAGTACATACTGTATCAAAACGGCTTGCTATACAGTGTTGGGACCGCAATAATATTACAGGATTATTTCTTGAATTTTAGTATATCAACGAATCTATTTACGTGAAATCTCATGTCAGCGGGTGAAAATGAAGTCTAAAAACGTTATTCTAAATATATAGAACCTGTGGATCGTCTCATGCGTCCCTCCTCATGTTGATTCAGTCTTCTTTTACACATTAAAGTGGCTGTTTGCAGCCTCTTCAGATGTTATCATCCCAATAAATGCTTATTAGCGGCTATCAGTGCCATAGAATGGCTTCAGATTGGGCCAGTATGCTCATTAGGTTATCAGGAAGTGAATACTAACCCTATTCCTTTTCCTCCACAGAATTAATGATTCTATTTATGTGTAATCTGAAAATAATTTCAGTAGTTAAATATAAATAAATAAAAATAAAATGATCTGCATCTCGCTCATATTAAACAAACCAAAAAAATAATGTAATGCCCTGTCAACTGAGTAGTAGAATCGTCTCCCTATAAATATTCAAATCTCTGTGGAAAAACTGCAGATCATTCTTTAATATGATCCTCGTCAAATGGATATGCGATGTTTGTTTTTAAAACGTAATGTGTCTAACAGATCTAGTGAATGAGATATACAGGTGCTGGTCATAAAATTAGAATATCATGAAAAAGTAGATTGATTTCAGTAATTCCATTTAAAAAGTGAAACTTGTATATTATATTCATACATTACATACAAACTCATATATTTCAGATGTTTATTTTGTTTAATTTTGATGATTACAAATGACAACAAATGAAAATCTCAAATTCATCATATCAGAAAATTAGAATATTGTGAAAAGGTTCAAAATTGATGGCCCCTGGTGCCACACTCTAATCAGCTAATTAACTCAAACCACCTGCAAAAGCCTTTAAATGGTCTTTCAGTCTAGTTCTATAGGCTACACAATCATGGGGAAGACTGCTGACTTGACAGTTGTCCAAAAGACGACCATCGACACCTTGCACAAGGAGGGCAAGACACAAAAGGTCATCGCTAAAGAGGCTGGCTGTTCACAGAGCTCAGTGTCCAAGCACATTAATAGAGAGGCGAAGGGAAGGAAAAGATGTGGTCGAAAAAAGTGTACAAGCAAGAGAGATAACCGCACCCTGGAGAGGATTGTGAAACAAAACCCATTCAAAAATGTGGGGGAGATTCACAAAGAGTGGACTGCAGCTGGAGTGAGTGCTTCAAGAACCACCACACACAGACGTATGAAAGACATGGGTTTCTGCTGTCGCATTCCTTGTGTCAAGCCACTCTTGAACCACAGACAGCGTCAGAAGCGTCTTGCCTGGGCTAAAGAGAAACAGGACTGGACTGCTGGTGAGTGGTCCAAAGTCATGTTCTCTGATGAAAGTAAATTTTGCATTTCCTTTGGAAATCAAGGTCCCAGAGTCTGGAGGAAAAGAAGAGAGGCACTTCATCCACGTTGCTTGAAGTCCAGTGTAAAGTTTCCACAGTCAGTGATGGTTTGGGGTGCCATGTCATCTGCTGGTGTTGGTCCATTGTGTTTTCTGAGGTCCAGGGTCAACGCAGCCACATACCAGGAAGTTTTAGAGCACTTCATGCTTCCTGCAGCTGACCAACTTTTTGGAGATGCAGATTTCATTTTCCAACAGGACTTGGCACCTGCACACAGTGCCAAAGCTACCAGTACCTGGTTGAAGGACCATGGTATCCCTGTTCTTAATTGGCCAGCAAACTCTCCTGACCTTAACCCCATAGAAAATCTATGGGGTATTGTGAAGAAGAAGATGCAATACACCAGACCCAACAATTCAGAAGAGCTAAAAGCCACTATTAGAGCAACCTGGGCTATCATAACACCTGAGCAGTGCCACAGACTGATCGACTCCATGCCACGCCGCATTGCTGCAGTAATACAGGCCAAAGGAGGCCCAACTAAATACTGAGTGCTGTACATGCTCATACTTTTCATGTTCATACTTTTCAGTTGGCCAACATTTCTATAAATCCTTTGTTTTTATTGGTCTTCAGTAATATTCTAATTTTCTGATATGATGAATTTGAGATTTTCATTTGTTGTCATTTGTAATCATCAAAATTAAACAAAATAAACATCTGAAATATATGAGTTTGTATGTAATGTATGAATATAATATACAAGTTTCACTTTTTAAATGGAATTACTGAAATCAATCTACTTTTTCATGATATTCTAATTTTATGACCAGCACCTGTGTATATATATAAAATCTTTTTTTTTATGTACAAAACTATGAAAAAAATCTGACTATATCAGGAAATAAAACAGCGTGAAAGGCTATAAGGAGAGCAGAGACAGAGGACACTCCGAGTTTACTGAAGAAAACCTGCTATGGACCAGGTTAGATCTGGGAGAATGTTACTATGGTGACTGAAACAGAGGTTGAATAAACTCTTTGTGAAACAGAAAAGTCAGAGTTTCCCTGTTTTCAAGTTTAGATAACTAGTTTTCGGTAAATCTGTTCCATGAAACGGACCCCTGGGGTATTCAAAATGCTTTACTACACATTACTATTTTTACCCGCTTTAGAGGATGAAGAGTATTTAAATTTTCCCACCTTTTTTGGAGGGATGATCAGAGGAACAATAGCTTTTTAGAAAAAGCTTTAAAGGATGGTCTCCAAAGCAAATAACACAGAAGAGTAAAAAAGTTTGGTTAAGCTTCATGTAAATATGGATCCTCCACACCCACATACATACAGTCTTTCAAATATCTCAGAAACCAACAACAAAAAGAAAAGTCCACACAGTTTTTTAAAAAAATAGCGAAAAGATCTTTGTACACTTGGACACAACAACTGGTGACATGTTCCCAAACCACATATTCTGCTCTCAGACATGAGGTTGCAAGCTACAGTGAGTGCTTTTTTTCCCTTTTTTTTTTTTTTTTTTTAAAAAACAGATCATCACAGTAGTTCAAATAAAATGGCTCTTTTTTTAAATAAATAAACAGAAAAGCCTTTGTTTACAGGACTTTGAGTCAATACGGTTTAAAAACAGAGAGTACAGCAGTGGTTGTTTTTAGTCCTACAGAAAATAAATACAGAAGAATAAAACAGGTTTAACACATAAGGACTGAAAGTTTAAAAAAACAAACTCCTATAAGCACAGAAATACAGCGCTAGCAGGTACATGCATGCTTTGGTCATTTGATTATTATCAGAAACAAATAAAAGCAAACTTGATTTCTTTCTTAAATACAGTCTTTTCCTCTCTGAGCTTTATAAACACAGGTGGATTCCTGAAGGGGATTTTATTTAACTGATAAAAAACAAAGTTGACAACCAAAGACTTATTTATATCAAAAATTGGTCATTCTTTTTGCCTGAGACCATGATTTTGTCCATTTGTTTCATAAAAAACAAACCAATAGATCCAAATTTCCCATAAAAAAACAGATTTTTATTTAGGGTGAATTTATTTCCAAAGCAGACAGAAATAAATGATTAGTCTGCTTTTTTTATATCAAAATATGAAAGATCATTATGTAAAGCCATTATTTAAGCCATTATTTAGCAGATTTTATTAT